TAGACTTAAGAATACATAAAAATACACAGAAATTGGCGGAAAATCTCGATCCAACCCTAGCTTTCAATTTTGTTTTTCAATGTCATCCACTTAGACTGCAAGGTGCAATTCAAAAGGCTGAGATTCCAGTGCCTTTTTTTTTCACGGACAAGATTCATGCAGAGATCTCTTCGTGTTACAGCAATTGTGGGAACTTCATCGGCTATAAGAGAGGCGGATAAAGCAATGGGAGTGGTGAACCATGGCCGATGAAGTGAAGCTATTCGGCATGTGGGCTAGCCCTTATAGCCGAAGGGTTGAATTGGCCTTGAAACTTAAGGGAATACCATATGAATACATTGAAGAAGATTTGTCCAACAAGAGTTCTTTGCTTCTAAAGTATAATCCAGTTCATCAAAAGATCCCAGTCCTTGTTCATAATGGGAAGTCAATACCGGAATCATTAGTAATTCTAGAGTATATCGATGAAACATGGAGAAACAATCCGGTTCTTCTGCCTCGGGATCCTTACAAGAGATCCATAGCTCGGTTCTGGGCTAAGTTCATAGACGAAAAGGTATAATCAGACTGACTTAAAACCTTTTGTTATGTCACCTTCAGTTATGCATGTAAACCATTCGAGTTTGTCGGTCTGATTTTCGAGTCGGCCCACTTCGGGTTTGAGTCATTTTCTTGTTTGCAGATTTTGATCACCACAAGGAAGGTTAGTTTTACAACGGGGAAGGAACAAGATCAGGCCATGGAAGAGCTATCTGAGCAGCTTAAGTTGCTAGAGAATGAACTCAAAGGGAAGCCTTATTTTGCAGGCGAGGCTATTGGATACCTTGATATTGTTGTTGCCAATTTCCTGGTGTTCTGGTTTAGAAACCTGCAAGAGGCTTTGGGAATCAACATGTTCACAAAAGAGAGATTCCCAATCATATTTGAATGGATCGAAAAGGTGGTTGCAATAGATGTTGTCGAGGTATGCCGGATCCCGAAAGAGAGACATCTTGTTTATATCCGGACTCGACTCGAAGCCATAAAGTCTGCTTCCAAGTAAAGCCTTTAGAATGAACCTATATGCTTTCTATTATGGTATGTGTTCTGCTTGTTGAAGAGAATAAGAGTTTTCTTTTGTTGAAGTGCAAAGGGTATGTACCTTTGGCCGTTGCAACAGCAGATGAGCAAACAAAGTGATGAAAAAACTATTTGCCGATCAACATATTTGAAGCTAAATGTTTTGAAAAAAGTTTCATGTGTTCAGAACAAAGCAAAATACATGCATACATACAGCAGTTACACAAATGTATGCCACTTTCGAATTAACAGTGAATTGATGGTTGTGTAGATCAAGTATAAACATATATGCAGACGGTGGCAGCTTCAAAAAATCTATACCATTCAAACAGTTGCGCAAATTATTTCGGTTCGAGTTAGACTAATTTGAATTGTTGACTTTCTTCTTTTCAGAAAGAGAAAAAAAAATAATTGTTGACTTTGTTATAGCATTGGCGACGAACGGCCTTCCTCCCTTTCCAAACCGAGACGACGCTCAACCTTGGTTCTTTTTGTGTTTTTTAGTGTTTTCCCTTGTTGTTTGCTCGAAGACTTTGGTTTTGCTGTTTGGTTTTTTTTTTTTTTTTTGCTTTGTCGAATATTGCTTCGTTTTTTACCTTGATTTTTTGTTTATGTTTCTTCTTGGTTGCTCTTATATTTGTTGTGTCATTCCTCTGTGGTTGCTGTGGTATTTATATAGCCCCCGGTCGGGGTTGTTTTTGATCATTTTAGGGTTGTTTCCCCTGTTTCCCGATTTACTCGGGCTTTGTGGCTGTTGTTGTTTGCCGAGAGTTTTAGGGATGGTTCAGTCTCGAATCATTCTTGATTTTGTTGGTATTTGAGTGTTTGAGATCCCGAAGATTTAGGTCGGTTGGTCACCGAAAACTGGCCCGGATTCTTGGGTGAATGCTTCTTGTGCGTGGTTCTCATGCACCCTCTCGTGCGGCACCAATGCTAGGTCCAAACCCTGGCTTCCTTCGATCTGGGTCGTTGATCCTTGTCCTGATCTAACGATTGTGATGTGTGCGACGCCCTTCTTTGATATGAAACCATAGTTTGATTCGGGTTGGGTCAGACCCTCTCCACCTAACCGGGTTTGCTGGGTCAGGCTACCCGATTAGGCTTCGTAGTACCCTAACTCGACTTGGACCTTTGGACTCCTTTCATTGGACCGGACTTGGACCTAAAGCAATAAGTAAATAAAAAATGAATATAATAATAATAATAATAATAAACTTAATATATTTAAAAAACTATATAAAATATTATATTTTCAAAATCATATAATATGTTTTCAAAATTATATAACAATATGTTTTTAAAAACTATACTATATATTTTCAAAAATTATATATTATATGTTTTTAAAAACCGTTTTAAGAAAACTATATGTTACGTGTTTTTAAAAATACGTTTTCAATGTATAGTATATGACATTTTTAGTGATAGTTGATATGTATATGAAATTAAAAATATATTACCAATGAGTATTGACTCAAGTGGTTGGAATTCATGAATTTGAGCTTGTAAGTCCAAGTTTAAATCTTACCATCGTGGGTAATTTATAAGTTTATATGTAAATCTCAATTGGGTTTTAGGTATACTTTAGCCTTGGACTGAGAGACTCACCCTTGACCTAAATTTTGTTGTACAAAAAAAAGAGATTAAAAAATATTGACTTTATTAATTCGACTATATGAATATGATTAATTAATTTTTATGTCTATATGTAGCGTACGAGGGGTCCGGAGGCATCTATATACATTTCGTACACTATAGGTAAATTTGAGACATCTTTGCCATGACATTACTTGGCAAACGCGTTTCGAAGCCGAATCGAAGGCTCTCAACTCTTTGTATCGGTTTGGGGACGTGATAACATTTGTTTTAGAGGGCGCGAGGTATCTCAACGTCATTCAGTCAGGTAGAGGAGACTATTCAATCTGTGATAGTGTATTGCGATGGGCGGAGGTATCTCTACACATATCAAACTGTGCATGTAGAGTTGAGACATCTTTACCTTGACGTTATCGGGCAAAGGCATCTCGACCTCTCGAACTGTTTTTATGGTCGTAAACCTAAATAAAGGTAACTCAACACCATGTGATGTTAAGAATCTTAAGTCCAAGTCTCATTATTTGTAAATCTAATGCTTAGATTGTCAATTTAAACTTATTTATTTATTTAAGTTCTACACTGTTCCCGAAGGTGGGTCTTATCCAAATATATTTTCCATTCTAAACTGAAGCTTGAGGCAGAAATTGAAGTTGAGTTGGTTTAGGGAAAGAAGTAATTATGTAGGTGGGAAATAAGCAATTTGTGTGGAAATGGTTGAAGGATTTATGCAAAAGAAACAAAGGTTTTCGATAGCATATCAAAATCATCGTATGCAAAAGTTGAAGTTTGATTTTCCAAAACCCTTTTCTTGTTCCAATCATTTTGCAATCACAGCTAACCCCATTGCCCCAACTAACTCACTCCATTCATTCTCACCTAATCCATGTATCCCTTCCTTTTTGGTTGACCAACTGCTCAACCTTATATAAATAAATTATTCCTCAAATCCGAGTAAACAAAAACAAAAGTCCATCATTAAAAACTATTTTCTCTCTCTTTTTATTATAAAAATAATTTTAATTTAATTAATTTATAGGATTGAATTATTAGACCAGTCCAATTTTTATTTAAACGATCGGATGAATTGATCCAATCATATATTTAAGTACATAAACACCAAATTTTTTTTGTACCTCGTTCAACAACTCGATTTAATTTTGTTATGGTTTAACTTGGAATACTACTCGCTAACAAATGGCAGTTGTGTTTGCAATTTAACGTTGTTGGAACAAACTGTACCGTCAGAATTTATTACACTTCTTATAATTTATAATAGACAAAAAAAATACTAAACAAAATCAATTATAACCTAATTTAGAGGGATGAGGTATTAGTAGGGATGAGCATGGGTCGGGTTCGGGTCAACCATATCTGACCAAAAAATTTTACATCTTTCACTCGTCCTAACCCAACCCGACCCGATTTTTTTGAGATAAAATTCGAACCCGATCCGACTTAACCCGACCCGAAATAATAATAAAAAATTTATTTTTGTTAGAAACGGTGATTTAATTGAAAAAATATATATATAGAGAGATATTATTGTAATTATTCCTAAATATATAAGGTAAAATTATATTTTTTCTAGGTCAGGCCGGGTCGGATATTTTCCACCTTAACCCGAATCTGACCCGAAGCAATTTTTTTAAAAAATCCGACCCGATCGGACCGGAACTCGTTTGGTTTGGGTCCCATTCCCATCCGTAGGTATTAGATCTTTTATATGAAATGAGAAATTCAAATTTGATGTCATAAATAAAAAGATTAATTCAAAGGACGTCTCATAATAATTTTTTTATATTATTTCATCTGAATTAATTGATTAGTAAATTAAATAATGATTGTTAAGAATTTTTCCTTGGACTAGGTTACAATCCTTACTCTTTACTAAGTTTCTTGTTTATCTTTATACTAAAAGTTTTGGGTTAATTATATTTTTGACCTTTTAATTTTTTAAAAACATACATTAATTTTATTTTTTATTTCTTTTAACAACAATTATTTATTTATTATAGAATTAAATTAATTAACAGAAAAATAACATTTGTTAACCTCATGTCATTTGTTTTTTATTTTTCAATCACGACATAATTATTTTTATTTTATACAAAATAAAATAAAAATATATAATATTTAAAAAGGAAAAAGGACAAAAAATTATATGAATTTAGTAGATCTATTATTATTTTTGTTGGATAAATTTAATTTAAAAAAATTAAAATTCAAAAATAAAAATAAGTAAATGTTGAAATTACTTTTTTTTCCCTTTCAATCCAAGGGTCAAAAAGTGGTACTAATATATAAAACCCAGTTGGCCTATTCCTCAATTGGATTCCGTATAACATCAGCTTGCAAGTCCCACAGGAATCTCTCCCTCTGTCTCTCTCGTTGTCAATTTATTTAATGTTTTCCTTTGAGTGTTGAGGCAATAATTGTCCACCCAGCATCTTCCTTAATAACTAATCCCTCTCCGCTTCCTTCTTCCACTTTCAGGCCTTACAACTTTTTACTTATTTTTCTCCTTTATTATGGCTGTTGACCTACACGACCCTGCCTTATTCACCCTTTCTTCTCAAGATCATCACTTTGAGGCCCTGCAAAGCAACAACAGCAATAAACGGTACTTATTTGCCTCATCTGAGTCTGGCTCAGAGCTGAGTTCACCCACTGGTTCCGATCACCTCAATTCCACCATCACGGAGAGCAGTGAAGAGGAAGAAGACTGTCTTATTGCCGAGCTCACTCGCCAGATGGCTCAGTTCATGTTGCGAGATGAAGATAAACATGAAAAGGTAACAAACATTCGATTTTCTCTTCTGGTTTCTTGTTTTTTTTTTTCTTATTTAAAAGAAAAAACTGATTTTTTTTTGTCATTTGTTTTTCAGTCATATGGTTCTCCTATGGTTGAAAAAAATGAAGAAACAGCAGCATATGGCCATGGGTTTCAATCAAAACAAGCACTTATAGATGAACAAATAAGAGCTATCAAGCAGGTAAGCATGGATCTTCCTTTTTTCTTTTCTTTTTTGAACAAATAATTGTAGTAATTTTACTTGTAATAATTTTACAATTTTACAAGCTGAAACAAGAGCAACCAATGAAGCAGAAAGAACAAAAGCCGAAGACCAAGCATCATCAAAGCAAAGGGAAAGTCCTTGGAGGGTTTAACAATGGCTATCACTCTAATACTCTGTGGTATACTCTACATCAGCAGCAGCTACATCAACAACAAAGCAAGAAACAAACCGGTTCCGATTTGAGGGCGGTTTTCTTTACCGGCTCCGTCTCGAAAAACGGTTCTTCAGGAACCGGCGTGTTCTTGCCTCGTGCAACTGGCGGAACTTCTTGCAACTCACGCAAGAAACAAGGTTAGAAACAAGTACATTCCTTTCAATAAAAAAAATCTTAAGAGTAATTGAAATGTTACTTTTATGTTAATTATGGGGTCGCTTTAACATTTAGACAGAGTTTGGTCGGATTAGTTGGGGGATAGTTAAGTGCTCAGTAGACTGTTAATTATGCCAAACTATCGCATGGTATTTTCTATTATTGTTCACCTAATATAATTTTGCTTATAAAAGATAGACTACTTTGGTACTAGAGTACCAAATTAGATCTCCAAGATTTCAAGAATGTGAACCGGAATCTTCCCGGGTCCCTAGTTCATATGTCAAAAATACATTTTATCTTATTGATTCGAATAATTTGAAACTTTTAATTTTATCTCATATCGGAATTTGTTTTGATTAGGGTGTGCTACTGTGTTGATTCCCGCGAGAGTAGTTCAGGCTCTAAAGCTCCACTTTGAGAAAACAAGGGTTCCATCAAGATTCAATACTACAGATTTTAACAGTAAGAAATGAAATTTCGTATTTATCTTTTGACATGTTAGTTTAACAACTTGTTCATTATCCCATGCAGATGGTTCCGACATCATGAATTCGCCACAAAAGGGTCGGTCCGGGGCGACGGTGCCGCGTACAAGCCACCATGAAGAAGTGAGTCTACCTCAAGAATGGACTTATTAAGGAAGCCTTTGTGTGGATTGTGTTTGGTTTGTAATTGATGAATGGAAGGGAACAAAACAAATTTCCGGGAAGGAATAAAGAGGAAGGAAACAAAAGGACAGATAAGATATGGTGGTAAAATGGATATAGGGAATCTAGAGAGAATAGACACGTGTAAAATAAAATGTGTAGGTAGTCTTCGTATACCTTCCTCTACCATTGTTAGCTGCAGATTTGGCTTTTACTCCTTTTTGTAAAATACTTTTAATAAAAATCAGCTATCAGCACTATAAGAATTTAATTTTGTTTTCATGTCCATCTTTATTTTCATTTTATATATAAGCTTTTGTCACAACAATTATTGATGGAATTATTAAATATTTATATATAAATTTTATTTTAAAAATAAAAGTAATTTAATAGCTTGTAGCTAAATTAATGATCAATTAATTCGTGAAAATAAACTTAATCAAAATTTTAGTTTTTAGTATATTATTTATCTTTGTACGTCATGATTGTGACGAACAGATTTTGAGATACAATGAGAACTCGATTGATATTTCATAGGCAGAAAAGTATTTGATTTTACCATAGAAGCTAAACAGATTTATAGGGAAATAATCATATGACATGCACTAACTACTATTTTGTTACCTCTTTTACGCATTTAATTTTATGCATGAATCAATTATCTTAATAGTTAAAATAATTATTATTATTTATTGTCAAATAATTAAAAATATTTAAAATATATACTATTTATAATCAATTTAGTTTAATTTAAAAAAAATTCAAATGCAGTTACGGATAAGTATTTTATCACAATTTGACTGATTTTAAGTTGATCTAATTTTATAAAACTTAATTTTTTTATAATAAAGATCGAGTTTAAATCATATTAGTTTTTTTTAAAAGATAAGATTAAATCGAATTTGATTATTTTAGAAGATCCAATTAGCATTTTCATGAAGTCAGAAGATTCAGTCGTAAATTCAAATTCGAATTTAAGAATTATCTTTACTTTTAGGATTTAATTCAAACAATTTTCTTGGACTATCTTTTTTATAATTTCTTAGAATTATCTGTAGCATTATTAGGATTTTTAGGAAGCTATAAATACCCCCTGGGGTAAGCTTCAAATATATCTCGAATTTTCTGAACTTCTTCTTTGTTCTTGCTTTCTTCATTTATAAAGTTTTTATTTTTCTAGTTTTTATTTATTTATTTTTTAAAATGCTAAATATGATTTCTATCATACTTAGCTAATTTTCTCATAAGCCAAAGGTTGAAGCAATGACTCAATTCCGATCGTGAGAATTGAAAAGCACTCAATATTCTTTGGGTTATATTTTAAGTTTTTTGGAATCAAAGATCGGTAATCGACCATCCTTTTATAATAAAAAACATTTTCTTTTCAAAAATTACATGTTGGATCAATTGTGTTTTCAATTAAAAGTTGGGAGGAAGGATCAACTTGTATCAGATTCGATTCTTAATGGGCTACTATAATCCAAGTCGGATTTTTCCAAAGCTTTTTAACTGAGTTGGCGCTAGTAACGATTGTCGTGATTAGTCCACATAAGGACGAATAATCAAAGATTGGTTTGGATTGTCGGTTCATTTGAGAGAAAGCAAGTTACAGGGGTTAGGCCTTGTAAACTGTAACCAGCATGAATCCGAAGCAAAAATCTCATTCAATGATCGACAAAATTTTGAGGCAAAGCGAAAGCCTAAGGTTGATTTTTATTATTTGAATCTCAATTTAAATTTACTTTCGTTTAATTTTTACTTCATTTTATTTTAGAAACAAAACCCCATTTTACTTTTACTTGCAATTTTCACCCAGTTCATAAGCAAAGACTACTTCATCAACAATCTCCACAGTCCTGACCCTTACTCTCTATATACTATTTTTTATTTTATTTTTATTGAGATTAAGGAATATTTATTTGACATCTAAACGATGCGTTGTTAAATTGTTGCATTTGCCGGGGACTACGACAAATTACTGGTTAATTTGTTTTTGTTTTTATGACCAAGTGAAACCTGGGCACATTAAAAGAAGTTGACCCAGAGATCGAAGCACGAGCTAGAAGAATTCATGGATAAACACTTTGAGATAAAAGAAGAAGGTGACAAGAACAATCAAATCCCGAAGAATCTGATGCTACCTTCTATTCAGATCCGATGCACTCGATCGAATCATCATAAGCCAAATCATATGCCCAATCTGAAGAATCCATACCTGACGCCACACTTAACATTGATCACGTGCAACCACCAGAATTGATGGTCGATCAGACGATTCGGGAGTTGGCCACAACACTCGTTGTTCAACAACTCCTTTGCATCGCCTTTCCTTAAGACGAAACTCTGTTCTACTCATAATGGGGCTCATACATCTTCTTCCTACCTTCCACGGGCTTCCCAGTGAGAGTCCGTACAAACATATCATAGAATTCCACTTGGTCTGTTCAAGCATGAAACCACAAGAAGTTCCCGACGAACAAATTAAGTTAAGAGCTTTTTAATTTTCTTTAGCTGGCATAGCTAAAGAGTTGCTATTCTATTTACCGTCGAATTTTGTTAGCACTCAGAATGATTTAACTCAAAATTTTCTTGAGATGTTTTTCCCAGCAATAAAGGCAAGCGAGTTGAGAATAAACATTATGGGAATGTGACAAAAAGACGGGGAATCACTCTACGATTATTGGTAGTAATTTAAAAAACTTTGTGCAAGTTGTGTGCAACATGGATTAACCGAGCAAGCATTTTTTTAGTACTTCTACGAAGGGCTTTCTCTCTTAGAGATGAAAATGGTCGATGCATCCAGTGGAGGAGCTCTCATCAATATGATGCTAAACGTAGCAAGTGAATTAATTTCGACAATAGTGACGAATTCATAACAGTTTTCAAGTGAACCCAGCCGATAGGTTCACGAGATAAGCTCTATTTCGCTTGAAACTAAAATTGATAAATTAACTGACATAATTAATTATCTTGTTGCAGGAAAATGGAGCAACAAGACTATGTAGTATATGCATAATGCCCGATCACACGACGAATTGTTGCCCGATCACATGACGAATTGTTGCCCGATGCTACAAGAAGAGGCGAACACTCAATTTAATGTCGTGGGTAACTTCCTAGGACCTCTCTAAAGGCCTTAAAATTCACACGACTATACGTATAATCCAGGGTAGAGAGACCATCAAAACTCCAGTTACATGCAAAACCCTAGGTTGAATCAAGCCTATCAACCAAGGCCACCTCCATAACAACCATATCAGCCGTAAAAGACATCACCCAAATCTATAGTTGAGTGGCTATTTATTTCTCAAGAAAAGTTCCAGACTCGAACTGAGGTGTACTTACAAGAAATAGACAAGAAAATCATCTATTAGCCCAAACATTGGGGTGACTAAAGTCACAAGGCAAGTTTTTTTTGTAAACTGAGTTAAACCTGAAGGAAATATGAGCACAATCAACCTTTGAAGCAGTACATTTATTGCACAACCTATACCAGATGGGGTAGACGCACAATCCCAGAGAAATAAAGAAGAGTCAAAATTCTGGAAGAAAGATGAAGCAATTGGTGCAAACTCCTAGAGAGAAAGAAGAGTTGACACAGAATCGCGAAGGAAAAATAATAACCAATTGCAAGACAATTCTGTGCATCTCCCTAGCTGTCTTACCATCTTTTCCCTCAAGATTGGTGAAAAGAGTCAAACAAGATGAGGAGAAAGAAATCTTGGATGTAGTCCATAAAGTAGAAGTCAACATACCACAAATCAACATACCACTCCTTGAAATAATCTGAAAGATTTTGAGGTATGACCGATTCTTTAAAGAACTCTGCACAACAAAAAGAAGGCTGACTAGGCACGAGAAAGTTAATTTGGGAGAGCACGTTTCAATCGTACTCCAACAAAAGCTTCAGTCGAAGTTGAAGGACCAAGGTATGTTCATCGTTCCTTGTAAAATCGGTAAGGTTGGAATAAAGCGAGTAATGTGTGATTTGGACGCCTATATTAATGTTAAGTCGTTAACCATCTATAATTTAATTTCGATTAAGCCCTTGAAGGATACTAGAGTTACGATATAATTAGCATATCGCTCAATAATTTATCCTGAAGGACTTTTGAAGAATGTCTTAGTAAAGGTAAATAAACTCATATTTTCGGTGAAATTCTATATCAATTATATGGAAAACGACTGGAAAAATAATGCTTATGAAATTATCCTTGTGCACCCATTCCTTAGTACGACACATACAAAAATCAACGTAAAAAGTGGAATTCTTACGATGCAATTTGATGGTGAGGTCGTGAAATTCGACGTATACAAAGCAATGTGACATCCTGATAATGTCGCTAGTTTAAATTTTGTCGATATTATTGACCCTACAATTGATGAATTTATGGAATCTAACTTTGTTGATGATTTATGTAGGGAATTGGAGGAATACAAAGAAGAAATCAAAGAGTTTGAAATTTTTTCTATTTATTCCAATTCACGTTTAATTCCTTAAAATTCTAAATTTTACCTTCTGTTTTGTAGGCTCCTCAAATTGAATTAAAGCAGTTTCCAGAACACTTGAAGTATGCATTCTTGGGTGAAAACGAGACTTTACCTTTGATAATTTCGAATAAATTATGAAAATAAGAAGATGAGGCCCTTGTGACAATGTTGTGCACGCACAAAGAGGTCATAGGGTGGACGATCACCGACATTAAGAGTCTTAGTCCCTAGACTTGTATGCATAAAATAAAAAATCAAAGAATGGGCTAAGCCGTCGCGAGAAGGTCAACACAAATTAAATCCACTGATGATGGAATTTGTGAAAAATATATAAAAGTTTTTTGATGTCGGCATTTTTTACCTGATTTTTTATAGTAATTGGGTAAGTTCAGTCCATGTTGTCCCAAAAAAAATCAGAGTTACCGTAATTAAGAACTTGAAAGATAAGTTAATTCCAACTAGAGTTTAGAATGGATGACGAGTCTGTATCGATTATAGGAAGTTTAACTGCTTAACTCAAAAAGATCAATTTCCTCTTCCCTTTATATATCAAAATGATAGAAAGATTAGCTGATAAAACTCACTACTATTGTCTTGATGGATTTTCAGGTTTCTTCCAAATCTTGGTTGCACCAGAATACTAATAAAATATGACTTTCACATGCCCATTTGGAACATTTGCTTACCG